CAGGCCCAGGCTGGATTAGAGCCTGCCAGCTCTGGTGTATGTAGCTGGTACCCTAGTCTCTGAGCTATAGGTGCTGAGCCAATTTTATTTTTTATAGGTCTTGATTTCCATAATTTTTCCTCACAGAAATACAACTTAGAAATCCAGGGAGACTGACACCCACCCCACCCCCAAACACACATACACACACACACATACTACAAATTTGCTGATATTTTAGAAATATCCTTACAGGTGGAGGTATGAAAATCTCCAGACAAGGCCGAATGCGGTGGCTCATGCTTGTAATCCTAACACTCTGGGAGGCGGAGGTAGGGGGATCACTTGAGTTCAGGAGTTCAAGATCAGCATAAGCAAGAGTGAGACCCTGTCTCTACTGAAAAAATAGAAAAAAATAGCCAGACATTGTGGTGGTGCCTATAGTCCCAGCTACATGGGAGGCTGAGGCAGGAAGATGGCTTGAACCCAGGAGTTTAAGGTTGCTGTGAGCTAGGCTGAGGCCATGTCATTCTACCCTGGGCAACAGAGTAAGACTCTGTCTCAAAGAAAGAAAGAAAGAAAAAGAGAAGAGAAGAGAAGAAAAAGAAAAGAGAAAAAGGAAAGAAAAGAAAAAGTCCCTAGGCAAAGCTAAGTTTCATAGTATGGAAAGCGTTTATTGAGGACTTGCCGAAAAGCTAAATAAAATATGTTCCTTGTCCTCAATGAGCTGAACGCACTCACGTAGGTGCTCAGTAAATACTCGTGCTGTGTGAGTAGCAGTGCCCTAGGAACTGGGAATACAGAAAGGAGTGAAAATACAGAGCTTACATCTAATGCAGGAGAGATATTGAAGAAATGAATAGAAGATAGAGTTGTGATGATAAGTGCTACAAAAACAATAAAGTGGGTTAAGGGGACAGAGGGCATCCAGGGTGCTGTTACTACAAGGTAGTCAATGAAAGCCGTTCCGGGTGGGGGATATTTGAAAAGAGGCCTTGAGGCAGGGAGACAGGGATCCATGGAGATGCTGGGACAGCGTGTGGACAGAGGGACCGGGCAGGAGTGTGCCCATGTGTGACAGGCCCGCGTGGCTGAGCAGGGTGGGCAGGGAGGCGCAGCGGGTGATGAATTTGGACCGGGTTCCACAGGGCCTTGCTGGCCTTGGCAAAGACCTCTGATGCGATTCAAAGGCTAATGAGACGCCACTGGCAGATTTTGAGCAGCGGAGCACCGAGCTCTGACTTAACATTTGGAAACGATCATCTGGCTGCTGAGTGGGTATTAGACTGTAGGACAAGAGTTGAAACAGGTAAATAAGTGAATGAGTGTCTGGGAAGGGACCAGATGTCCACAGAGAGGAGGAGTCGGAAGAAGAGGGGCATTTAATTAATCTGCAGTGGCGAGGGAGGCTCCTCATTAGAAGGCCGGCTAAACAGAGGTTTGCCTTTTATTTTCCAGGTTGAGTTTTTGGGGGCAAAGTGTGTCCTTCCATCGGGGAACCAGTAACATCAACGTCGCCCTTTTGTGAAGTTAGCAGCTTAATCAATGCCCAAAGCCATTGGTTCATCACAGGTGGCGAAACAGTGATATTCCCGTTCTATCTTTCCATTTTATTAGCTGGCATTATGTTTATTTTCTATTTGGGGTATGGTTGTATAATTCACATGGAAAAGGGGAGAACAAGGCTTGGTTCTTTCCTTTATTTTCAGTTTTCAGGTGGTTAACTGGCGTCTTTCTGTAGCAACCAACTGCTTGCCTTCTCCTCTCCCCCTTCCCTTACTCTCTTTTTTTCTCTATTTCTTTCTCATGTTCTTTCGAGTATCATCATGAACTTACAGCTTTTAATCCCATCTGATGGGTTTTAATCAACTGTAGTCACCACCTTTACAGATGCTGAATTCGTCCCATCTTTAACTAGGAATCTCTCTTCCCATTGGCGCCCAAGTCTTTTCCCGGAACCTTGGAGGCTTCAGATTGCCTCCTCCAGCAGAGGCTGGGACCAGCACCACCTGTGCATTCCCGTCCCTGTCTCAGAACCAGCTGCAGTCTAAAGAGCCTGGTTCCTGCTAGTGGAGAT